GTCCGGAACCACCCTGCCCGAGATACAGTGCCAGGATATCAGTCAATCCCAGCAGGGATCTCCCATTAAACCTCCTCAGGGTATGAGGCAAGACTCGTACAGGAGGACGCTCGAATACGTGCAACAGTGCAGAAACTGGTCGGGAAATGCTCAAACTCACGAGACTAACGTCTCCAGTTCTACTCACCCTTTATCGCTGCCTCAACCCCTGCCTTCGAGCGCCAATATGGTGGTCAATGATATGACCTCATCGCTGAGCTCCTTGCTAGAGGAGAATAGATACTTGCAAATGATACAGTGAATCGTATATAAATATTTTTTATCGTCATTTTTCTTCTTTGTTGGACCCTTGGAAAATTTGTTTCGTGGGGCTTTATGGTCGGTAATTGGTACAAAGTTTTTGGAATATTGTGGAGGGTGAAATTGCGAGTATTTGTAAATATAGTCTCGTTATATTGTGGGTTGTAGGAGGAGTGAGTTGGTGATATATTGGATGATTTTCATGGGGAATTGTGATGCGTGTGACGTGTAACGTTGCGATATACTGTGTGGTGATACTTAGTTGAAATGCGTAGGGATCTCTGTATTTGTATATGGAAATTTAGAAGTTGGCAGGTTTGAGAATTGGTAATTGGATGATTAGGAAATTGATAAATTAGAAATTTGGAAAATTGGAAATTTAGAAATTTGGAAAATTGGGAAATTGGAAACTTGAGAAATTGAGAAAATGGAAAATTGGGAAAATGGGAAATTGGGAAAGTGGAAAATTGGGAAATTGGAGAATTGGAAATTTGGGAAATTGAGAAAATGGAAAATTGGGAAAGTGGGAAATTGGGAAATTGGGAAATTGGGAAATTGAGAAATTGAGGAAATGGAAAATTGGGAAAGTGGAAAATTGGAAATTTGGAAAATTGGGAAATTGAGAAAATGGAAAATTGGGAAAGTGGGAAGTGGGAAGTGGGAAATTGGGAAATTGAGAAAATGGAAAATTGGAAAAGTGGGAAATTGAGAAAATGGAAAATTGGGAAAGTGGGAAATTGAGAAAGTGGAAAATTGAGAAAGTGGAAAATTGGAAACTTGGAAACTTGGAAACTTGGAAAATTGGAAAATTGGAAATTTAGGAAATTGGAAAATTTCAAAATTGAGATATTAAAAAATTACCAAACCAGAATCCAAAAATTTCTAAATTAAACTACAGATCCCTACGCAACCCCCACGCTCCAAACGGCAATATAACGAGAGTGTATTACAAAAACTATATAAAGAGACATAAAAATATATTTAGTATAAATTTAAAAATTACTGCGAATCTCATGCTCCAAAAAAGGGTTAATAATCGATAAAAGCGAACGATATACATATAAATATAAATATTTTCTATTGTAATTTTTACTCCGAACTGACAGGAGAGATCGAATTATCGATTAAAAAAAAAATGAGAGGGAGAGAGAGTTCTAGCGACTTAGACTTTTGTATTTTTTATATAAACCAGAGACGAAATGTATTTTCTATTGTATTGTACTTGTTAAGGGGGCCGAAAAGTAGCCATAAATTACTTAAATTAATTTAGTAGAATTGTTAAGATCGTGACCTCACGTGTGGATGATATTCTCGGTGATTAAACAACGATTACGATCGAAGTGATACGTATTACGAAACAGTTCAAAAGTGTCGTTAATATTGTTTAATATACATAATATTATAATATGATATTTGTACAAAAAATTCAGTGGAACATCGAGGTGCCTTATCGAACGAGCTATGCGCGCACAACGCGTGCACCAAATACATAATTTATTATATTTTTTTCGGAGGATTTATATTTAAGGACGTTATTGTCGAAATTTCGATGCGAAATTTACCTGTGAAGTCGATGTACGCTTATGCGATAAAAATAGTTTGAGAACATTGTTAAATTTTATAGGAATTTTTGCGTCAGACTGCAAAATAATTTTATACATTATGGTTGATTTTTGTTATATTGCCGACTAGGTTTACAGCTAATTGTAAATTTCTAAATTTAAAAATTTACAAATTCTAAGATTTCTAAATTCCAAGATTTTCAAATTTCAAGATTTCCAAATTCCAAGATTTCCAAATTCCAAGATTTTCAAATTCTTAAATTTCCAAATTCCAAGATTTCCAAATTCCAATATTTCCAAATTCCAATATTTCCAAATTCCAAGATTTCCAAATTCCAAAATTTCCAAATTCCAAAACTTCCAAATTCCAAAGTTTCCGAATTCCAAAATTTCCAAATTCCACCCTAAATCTCCCAAACCCAAAATTCCCCATATTCCAAAGTACCCTAATAAATACCCTAAGTAAAATACCCTAAGTGACCTACCCTGAAACATGACATCAGAAAAATGGCAATATAACAAGAGTCCCCCATATCCCCCCGTATTTCCATACGAGTCCTTGCAAAACGTGCCAACGTTCCCTCGTGTCATAGTGTAAGCTTTCCTAGCGTAAACGACGAATGGTGTACGACGTGCACTGTGATACGAACCTTGTCCACACACGACCGAAAAGGTACCGTCATCAGTTATTGCTACGAATGAGATTAATCGACGTGAACGATAAGGTAGAAGTCCGACTAGAGTATAAAGTCTGTAGATAAATCGTAAGATAAGATCATCGATCAGGAATGAAAGGTGTGCACGAGAAAAATTTAGACAATCATTTCTGCGCGAGTGTGTGAGTGTGTGTCTGAGTGTCTTTCATAACGGAATCATTGTAAAGAGACCTAAAGTAGTTTACGAGCGTCATTTTTATGTAGCTTCGGTTTGACCGGAATCCATTTTGTAAACCTTGTCCGGAGTGCCTTTTCGAACAAATCAAACTTGGCGTACCTAGAGCTATCTTCTTTTTTCTTTCTTTGTTACGAGAACGATTTTGTACGAATTTTATTCATGGAGCCTTGTGAATATTATACATATCCATGGTATATAGTTTAGCGATTCGAGCTCATGTACGCGGAGGAGACTTTTACACCCTGAGAATTGTTAATTATTTGAAAATAAATCATATCGATCCCATCAATTATGTGGTTCTTTTACTACCCTTAATTGTATAATTTCAAGTAAAATATTTGATGTATAATTTCAAGTAAAATATTTTATGTATAACTTCAAGTAAAACATTTGATGTATAACTTAAAGTTAAATATTCTATGTATAATTTCAAGTGAAATATTTGATGTATAGCTTCAAGTAAAATATTTGATGTATAGTTTTAAATAAAATATTTGATGTATAGTTTCAAGTAAAATATTTGATGTACAGCTTCGAATAAAATATTTGATGTATAATTTCAAGTAAGATATTTGATGTATAACTTCAAGTAAAATATTCTATGTATAATTTGAAGTAAAATATTTGATGTACAGTTTCAAATAAAATATTTGATGTCTAACTTCAAGTAAAATATTCTATGTATAGTTTCAAATAAAATATTTGATGTACAGTTTCAAATAAAATATTTGATGTACAGCTTCAAATAAAATATTTGATGTATAACCTCAAGTACAATATTAAATGTATAATTTCAAGTGAAGTATTTGATGTATAGCTTCAAATAAAATATTTGATGTTCAGTTTCAAATAATATATTTGATGTCTAACTTCAAGTAAAATATTCTATGTATAATTTCAAATAAAATATTTGATGTATAACTTAAAGTAAAATATTCTATGTACAATTTGAAGTAAAATATTTTATGTACAGTTTCAAATAATATATTTGATGTCTAACTTCAAGTAAAATATTCGATGTAAAGTTTCATATAAAATATTTGATGTACAGTTTCGAATAAAATATTTGATGTACAGTTTCAAATAAAATATTTGATGTACAGCTTCAAGTAAAATATTTGATGAACAGCTTCATGTAAAATGTTTGATGTATAGTTTCAAGTAAAATATTTGATGTACAGCTTCAAGTAAAATATTTGATGAACAGCTTCAAGTAAAATATTTGATGTATAGTTTCAAGTAAAATATTTGGTCATGAGCTTCAAATAAAATATCCAACATTCTGGTTTTTTACATAATTTTATTTATACAGTGAAATTCGTAGGTACAATTCGTAGAAAGTACAAAAGAGGAACGGCTCGTAATCACATAGACATTCACACGTAGGAACGAGACGTAACACGTCCGTAAAACGATGACACAATAAAAATAATAGAACGCGATAAAACCTTGCGATAATGTTTCCGCGTGATTATAAAAACACGTCGTTTCAATTAATTGAAGTACCGAATGACCTGAGTCAAACAGAATTATGCAACGACTCCCGAAACCGCGAGCCAACACGTTTCTCGGCAAATGGCGCTCGTGCACTTCACGTTTTCATGGCCGACGAAAATAAACGTCGAGTAATGTTTCTTCGTGCAGTGAAAAATCATGGACGTCTCAAGGCGAGTCGGAACCACCGTTCGAGACGGACTTCTCGATATTTATAGTACCCTCGGATGATTCAGGTACCTGAAACAACAGCATGATAATTAATAATGATCTATTTCTATATTTTATGTAACATGTGCTGGTTTTATTGGAGGCAGTGTGTTATGATGGTTTTTGTAGTTATTTTATAATTTTCGTATTATAATTTTTTGGAACAGCTCATAGTTCCAACATCTCCACGTCCCATAATCCCAACGTTTTAAACTCACAAATCTTCCAAAATTCCACTCGTGTCAAAATCACACACGTCCCAAAATTCCACACATTCCAAAATCCCACACGTCCCAAAATCCTACACGTCTCAAAATTCCACACATCCCAGAATCCCACATGTCCTAGAATCCCACACGTCCCAGAATCCCACACGTCCCAATATCCCATACGTCCCAATATCCCACACGTTCCAAAATCCCATACGTCCCAAAGTCCCACACGTCCCAATATCCCACACGTCCCGAAATCCCACACGTCCCAAAATTCCACGCGTCCCAATATCCCACACGTCCCAAAATCCCACACGTCCCAAACGAGACGTAACACGTCCGTAAAACGATGACACAATAAAAATAATAGAACGCGATAAAACCTTGCGATAATGTTTCCGCGTGATTATAAAAACACGTCGTTTCAATTAATTGAAGTACCGAATGACCTGAGTCAAACAGAATTATGCAACGACTCCCGAAACCGCGAGCCAACACGTTTCTCGGCAAATGGCGCTCGTGCACTTCACGTTTTCATGGCCGACGAAAATAAACGTCGAGTAATGTTTCTTCGTGCAGTGAAAAATCATGGACGTCTCAAGGCGAGTCGGAACCACCGTTCGAGACGGACTTCTCGATATTTATAGTACCCTCGGATGATTCAGGTACCTGAAACAACAGCATGATAATTAATAATGATCTATTTCTATATTTTATGTAACATGTGCTGGTTTTATTGGAGGCAGTGTGTTATGATGGTTTTTGTAGTTATTTTATAATTTTCGTATTATAATTTTTTGGAACAGCTCATAGTTCCAACATCTCCACGTCCCATAATCCCAACGTTTTAAACTCACAAATCTTCCAAAATTCCACTCGTGTCAAAATCACACACGTCCCAAAATTCCACACATTCCAAAATCCCACACGTCCCAAAATCCTACACGTCTCAAAATTCCACACATCCCAGAATCCCACATGTCCTAGAATCCCACACGTCCCAGAATCCCACACGTCCCAATATCCCACACGTCCCGAAATCCCACACGTCCCTATATCCCACATGTCCCAAAATCCCACACGACCCAAAATCTCACATACCCTAAAATTCCACACGTCCCAAAATCCCACTATCCTAAAATCCCACACGTCTCAAAATCCCACACGTCCAAAAATCCTAGATACCCTAGAATGACCCCAAAATACAAAACTCCAAGACCTTCCTAAACTCCCCAAAACCCCAAATGTCCCCTAAACACAAAAAATTCATACCTGACGAGGTAGATCCGCCAAATTAGTCCTGAGCCGCCTAGCAGGCAGCACATCTGGCATGGGTGGTGGAACAGGTGGCTCCCCATAAACTTCGTGTAGCTCTTCAAGCCTGTTGCTCAACGCCGACCCTCTCCTACTGGTCGCGTTCATCTTATTCATCAACCACTTGGCCTGTTCTTCCAGTCTCTTCAGTCTATCTTCCCTCGCGGCCATAACTTCTTCAGGAGTCCTGGTCTTCGCACTCTTCTTCTCCTCCTGCTTCGCGATTCCGCTCGATTCCTGCACGCTTTCTTGTTTTGCTTCAGTTTCGGGCTCCCTTACGGAGAAGTCTTTCACCGTCTCCATACTCGAGGAAGAATCCACCGACACGCTGTCACAGTCGACCCGTTTCTCTTTTGGATCCCCATCTTGAGTCGTGTCGAAACGACTGTCCGTCAAAGCACCGAAAACTGGAGCAGAAAATCGATTATGCGAACCGGTGACCGGTGTCCCGCTGAATTGGGCATTTTTCACGGTCGCAGGTGTCACAATGGACGGAGGGAAGGGCCCGATGGAGAACACAGGCTGCGTGCTGGCTGGACTGGGTACGTGAGACACAGACGATTTCAGGGTATCTTCGCTCTTTGCTTTCTCACCCGTTTGCTTCTCATCTGTTCGCGTTTCTTCGGTAACACTAGGAACTTCTGTACTTGTGTGCGTTGCGAGATCCTCTTTTGGTGACTCTAGGTTGGGTTGTGATTCTTCAGGGATTTCGAGCTTTTCACTTTCCTTGCAGGGACTTGAGTCTTCGATTGCTATGAGGTTCTGGATGACGTTCGTCAGTGCTTGGTCCAGGGGATCCAACGACTCTTCTGAACTCTTCAGATTTACCTGAAGAAAGTTTTGTTATGAAATTTTGTTTGTGAGGAATCGAAATTTTGCAAATACGTACTGAGTTGTCTGCGACGTTTGAGAGCTCGGAAGTCACTTCAGGTTCGTCTAACTCGGCTTCTGTCTCGGGTGTGGATGTTCGTTGCTCTAACGTTGCGGAGGAGCCTGTTTTGGATTCCGATAGCTCGGTGTCTGTTGGTTGCTCTGATTCGGTGTCCGGGGTTGGGGCTCGAGGACTCTCCTGAAGATATAGTTTATACGTTGAAGATTAATAGTTAGAACTATTTAGAAACTAGAACATAGTCATTGCGATTATCTACAGTAAAAGTTGGGGATTAGTAATTACAATTATTAGAAATAGTTAGTGACTGGGGTTACAAAATTAGAGCTGAACAATAAAATTGGTCAAAGGTAGAAATGAGTAGTTACAGTTACCACAAATTAATAGTTAGAGTTAGAATTAATAACTGGAGTCTAATTGATTAGGCTTAATATTATCAACCTTTCGTGGTCTCCTTCGTGGCCCAAGTCTAATTCTTTCTTCGACAGAGTTATCCTCTTCCTCATCAGTATCATCCCCTCGTTCATCGCTAAATCCACTCTCAGCACTAAACAGTCAAAATTAAAATGAAACAGTCAATCTCTTTAACAGTCAATTAATGTAAAAAGTATATTTTCATTAAAAAGTACACTTCTTTCGTTTAACAATGATTTTACTTTACCTATTGTTAAAGGAATCATGAGCAGCCAGAGCTTTTCTAGCAGCGAACTCTCGTCTCAAGCTTCTCCACTCTAATTCAGTGTTTGTATTCTTCTGTCTGGCGGACTCCCACTTTTCACGACAATATTCCAGTTCCTGTTTCAGCTCTTGAAGCATCTTCCGCTTTTGTTGAAGCTCGTATCGCAGAATCTTCTCGTGAGTGTGCAACTGATGATGTTGTGCCTGCATGCGATCCACTATGGTCCAGGTTTTGCTTAACTCTGCCGACACTGCTGATAATCTCTTCTCCTGATAAATCATGTATCAAACTCTTTTCATTAAATTGTATTATATCTTATAAATGAAAATGAGGAATTGTTTGAGTTAAATACTTCACTACTAAAAATTGATTCACACTCAAATTTTATACAATTGCATCTCTTCAAAATATTTAATATTATGTCAAAATATTATATCAAAATATTTAATATTATTATACTTGTTACCAATGTAATCTGATTGCAATATTAGTTAAATAATTTTATTTTGTTACCTGTTCACCAAGCTTGCATTCCAAATGAGCGTTCAACTGCTTCATTCGGTTCATCTCTTTTTCCAAGTGCTTTTTCTCCAGGATCAATTCTTTTAAGCGAATGTACGTTTTGCTGACGGATATCACTAGTCTGGGACCAGCTGGTGTGTCGACCGACTTGTAACAGCTGTTCGGATCCGAAGAGGATGCTGCGGACGCGGACGGTGTACCTTCTGCGTGACAGCTTAGCAATTCTAACAGAACACGCCATACCTGAGGAGAAAAATTGTATCAAGATTCGCGAATTTTATTGTAATATATTTCGTTAATAATAATAATTTCATTAGATGTTAATTTCGTATTACAATAGGAGTTACAACAGTCACATATGTGGACACATATGGACATGTGGACATATATGCACATATAAACACATAGACGTGTGGAAATTTATGTAAACACATGCAGACACATGTAGACACATGTAGACATATGTAGACAAGTATGGACACATGTAGACATATATGGACGTATATCACCTATGGACACATATGAATACGATATACATATGATATACATATACATATACATGTGATCAGATACATATAAATATACATATTGACATATGTTAACAGATATTGATACACATGTAAACACATGTGTAGACACACATGAAACATATAATAATACGTACAGACACATACATAATACATGATACATATAAACACACATGCACCAACAGTAGAATATCTACATATACATATCTGCAGAAGAATATTTTTAATTATTACCTTAGGTAAATTGTGTGCAATGTCTTCTTGCTGAAGATCCTCTTCCTTCTTCTCCACTTCAGCTTCAGCTCCATTATTTTCACTGTCTGTCCGTTTCTGAGAACCTTTGCCTCCTTCCACTTGTTCAATTAAGTCAAGAAGAAGCTTCGGAAGAGCTGCAGCCTCGGTGCCTTCCTCTCTCGCCATGTCACAAATCAGATCATGATTCTCCTAATAATTAGATCAGAAGATTAATAACTAGTTATTTTCATATATTTTATGTCACCGCGTCTCGAGCGTACTGTTACCGTCATCTATCGGCGAGGTATGAAACTAACAGAAAAGGTGATTGTTTCGTGGAAGATAAACACCTTTATATCTTTGTGAAGATAAAGAAAGATTCTGTATATTAATTTAATTGATGCAATACATTTATTCTTCAAGTTTATTTGTAATTTAAAATGAGTTCCACTAGAATGAATTCCTTTAAAATGAGTTCTACATTAATAGCCCAGTGTTAAGCCTTCAGATAATATCTTTAACTGATACAGCTTGTCGATCATGCATAAAATATCTTGCAAAAGAAGTAACAATACCTGAAGTAACTGAGTCAGTCGATCGAGGTCCATGTCAGCAGAGGAAGCACCCAACAGCATCTGAGTGAACAGCCCATTAATAAGCGACATCTGATTCTGAAGATCCCTGCAGTCAGCCTTAGTAAGTCCAAGCTGCGACTCCAAATTCGTTATCTCCGTATCCTGAGCATCGATCTGCACAAGTTAAAATCTCTTTATTCGTTTCATCGGAAACATTACAATCTCACAATACCTTCTCGTCAGCCTTTCTAAGATCCTCCTCCAAGCACTCTGACTTCTTCAGCGCTTGATCCAATCTCTCCTTCACATCCACAAGTTCCCTGGCTGCGGCTTCTTTCAATTCGCTCAGCACTTTCAGCCTTTCGTTGTAGAGGCTCTTCAAGCTATCGATGTTCTCCAGCTGACGCTCACACTCGAGGCCAACGTCGTCCTTCGGGTCCAAGAAACTTCTGTCCCCTAATCGGACCAGAATCTGCGCGAGATGGTCCTTCAGCTCGTTGGCACGTAATTCTCTTCGGTGAAGAGCCTCCCGCGTTTTGTTCGTCAGCTCTGCCAAGCTTCGGATGCGATATCGATGCTGATCGGGCTCTGTTTCCAGCTGGTAACGGAGGTCGTCCATTTTGTCGATTTGGAAGCGAATGTCGGCTCTCAGCTCGTCGGAGACCTGAGTTGTGGTAATCAAATAAAATTAATCACATGTTATATATAATTTATACATAATATGTATAATGTCGTGTGTGACATATGTGGCATTATACATGTGTGACATTATACAATAATATCATGTATGTGTACATTTGATGATATAACACATGGTAAATAAGGAGAGTATGTAACATGCATGTGGTAACTCAATAACGAATGTATTGATACAACGATATGACATAACATGTGATGCTACATATATCAATATAATAACCTAACTAAATTTTTAACTAAAACTAAACAAATAAATCTACTCAACAGTATATCTGTCTTGAAATTTATAACACTTTACCTTCAAGACGCTCGCCAATCGTTGAGCTTCAATTCGCTTCATAGCCAGCTCATGTTCATCCGGCTTTTGATCTTTCATCCTAGATCGTTTTGAATTTTCATCCAGGTTTCTTTGTGTCTGTGCTTGAGGATCGTTCTGCGCAGACCTCAAAAGGTCTAACACCCTTGACGTTTCTGAGTGAGCCTCCTTCTCTGCATCTAATTCTCGTCTAAGCCGTTCCATTTCCGAGGAAACAGCGGCGATGGCTCTTTGTCTGGCTTCTCTTTTTAAAGTCAATTCTTTCTTGAACTCCTCCAAATTCGTTGCACGTTCTGCTGAGGAATTTTCTTGCGAATCGTCTGTTGATTCGATTGAACCTATCGATCATGTTTCAATTATAGGAAATTGTTAAACTTGCAGAATAAAGAAAATTTTTAAGCTGAAAATATTTCTTATGTTTCGAATTGACTAAATAATGAAAATTTGTAAAATTTCAGAGAATAAAAATTGAAGTAACATACCAACTTCCTCTTTCGAAGCGTCATCTTTTTTCTCAGTCTTGATAGTCTCCTTCAGTCTTTGAATCTCATCCAAAGCGTCCTCGAGAGCCTTGATCTGTTTCTTTTTATCCGAAACCTCCTCGGACAATTGTGCCTTCAGTTTCAAAGTCTTCTGGCTCTCTATGCTTTTGATCTGCTCTTTTTCTAACAAAGACTTTTCTAGATCCTGCTCTAGACTAGAGATCCTCGCCTCGGCAGTGTCTTTTTGCGTGTTAAACTTATCAATTTCTTCCAACAACCTTTCCGTTTCCTTTTTTGCCACGTCAAACTTTTCCATGAGTTTATCGTATTCTTCTCTGTGCTCTTGCAGATTTGATTCTGCTTTCTCGTGTCGCGTTTTGGATTCCTGTAACAGTTTAATTTTGTCGCGTGAAGGTTGGTACGTTTATGGTGGACCTTTGGACTGCTATTTTGGCACGTATGTGTATTTTGGTGTCATGTGTGTAATTTTAGTTTGAGTAATATGTAATTTTGATTTCATGTGTGTAATTTTTTATATGTGTAATTTTGATATGACACGTGTGTAATTCTAGTTTCATATGTGTAAGTAATTTTTTGATATATGTGTGTAATTTTGGTGTGATACGTATGTGTAATTTTGGTGTGACACATGTGTGTAATTTTGGTTTCATATGTGTAAGTAATTTTTTGATATATGTGTGTAATTTTGGTGTGATACATATGTGTAATTTTGGTGTGACACGTGTGTAATTTTGGTTTCATATGTGTAAGTAATTTTTTGATATATGTGTGTAATTTTGGTGTAATACATGTGTGTAATTTTGGTGTGACACATGTGTGTAATTTCGGTTTCATATGTGTATGTAATTTGTTGACACATGGTTTGATATATGTACATTCAGGTGCAAAGTAATATTAATATATGTAACATATGATCACATAACGCAAGACTGTGAAACTTATTGCAATCTAATGCAAGGTTATTGGATAAAGTCAGACTACATAATACATATTACACATATGAAATAACATCAGTCTAGGTGCTGTATCCATATTCCACTTATGTCAATTCACATCAGACATGTTTAAGAAAAAAGAAATTTATATTGCACCTATTTGTTCATACCAAAAAAATTCACATGGTACTCAATATCAATATGATACGTGCTTTGTTTATTTCACCAAACATGCTGTCTTCAAACCATACCTCATAATCCATCGTCAACTTGTGGACCACCGCCTTCTCCTCCGCCAACTCCTTTTCCAGTCTTTGGTTCAAGCTTTGGTACTCCAGTCGTTCAGCCTTTAACCTCTCGACCTCTTCCGATAACCTGACGACCTCCCTGAGCAACCTCTCATCCTCGCTCTTCATCACACACTCATCCCCAGACTTTAAATGCAAATTCACCACCGTATCATCAGATCTCTCTCCTTCTACCCTGAGATCTCGACTCATGTCACTCGTTCTATATTCTTCAGGTACGATGCTTGAAAGCTTATCACAGCCGATCTGTCGATTCGAATCGTCACAAACATCTAACGTTTCATTTATCCTCAAATCTCTGTTCATCATCATCTCCAATCTTTCTATCCTAGAACGAAGTTTCCTGTTTTCATCCTGACAGCTCCTGTGTCTCAGACAGGAATCTAAGTCCGACTCCAATCTGTCTCCCGCCTCCAATCTTCGTTTCTCTTCGCACTCGTCTTCCTCGATCGTCAACCGTTTCTTTGATGAAACATCCATTTCGCGCCTTCTGGACTCTCTCTCCTTTCGAAGTTCGACATATAGGGTCTCCAGATGACCCAACGTGGCCGCGTGCGCTGTGGCCAGCTGTTGATTCGCCATCGCTAACTGAGAGATCACTCTAGACAGTTCCATCGTCTCCTGAGAGAACGAAGGGCTGTGCCCCTCGGCCGACTGCCAACCTGTCATCTGTGCGGCGTACGTCAACTGCAATATAAATAAATGGACTAATTTCAGAGACGATCGGAACCTAAGTCGATCGACGATCGGAATTCTGGATCAAGGAATGGTTACGTGGCTCGTTGCTCTCTTTGCATTGCCGGGAGTGTGTGAATGGCTCTTTGATAATTAAATTCGAGAACTTTTTATGAAATTTTGAAGTAGCTTTCTTATGTTAGAATTAATTTTTGCATGTATTCATGAAGTTAGAGATGAAATAAAGTATCGTGTGGTGAGATGTGATGATGATTGACTGTTTTGTTATTTTGCAACTTCAAATGAATGTTGTCAATCAATAAAATATTGTCAATCTATAAAATACCGTCAACCAATAAAATACTGTCAACCAATATAATACTGTCAACCAATAAAATACTGTCAACCAATACTGTCCCTCCAAAATTAATACAGCATTCAACCTACCCCGACCACCAACAAAAATAGCACAAATCCACAGAAACGATCGAAGTTCACTAAATCACGAAACTCAACGATTAATACTAGAGAAGTGTGCACGACGTCTAAGTCCGATAAAAGCGCAGTAACGAATGGAAGTTCGCGTATCCATGTACGCAGCGTCGACAAAGAGACTGCGTGTATGAACGAGATCGATCGCGAGTTTTAAAGCTGGATCCTCATCGAACGATCCACGAGAGTGCACTGGCACCAGACTCGTCGAGTTCTGCGAAGGAACTCGAGACACGAAGGCACGTGATCGTGATCGATGCCTGCGAACTCTGGTTGACCGTGACTCAGCGTGTTCTCCCGAAATCATGAAGAGACGCCAGCGCTTGGAGAACAGCCAGATACTCGCGACGCTTTTCCGTCAGACAAAAGAAAATGCCTCGGAAAATTTCGAGCCAACGGCATTCGAATAAAACGCGAGCTTTAAAAATTTGGGGGTTTAGACAAGGAGTTAGGTCGCTAGGAGTTTTGGGTATGATTTGAGTTTAGTTAAATAGGTTAATTAGATAGGTTGGAGATTAAGATTTATTGGAGGTTAATGATTTGGAGAGGTTGATTGGAAGTTGGTCAAAAATTTAGATTAGGGTAGTCAAAGACTAGAGGAGATTTATTAGAGTTTAGTTAATGAGATTGATTGGAGTGAAAGGTTTGAGTGAATTGATCAGACCTTGCAGTGAAAGGTTTGAGAGGATTGATCAGACCTTGCAGTGAAAGGTTTGAGAGGATTGATCATACCTTGGAGTGGAAGGTTTGAGAGAATTGATCAGACCTTGGAGTGAAAGATTTGAGTGGATTGATCAGACCTTGGAGTGAAAGGTTTGAGTGGATTGATCAGACCTTGGAGTGAAAGGTTTGAGAAGATTGATTAGACCTTGGAGTGAAAGGTTTGAGAGGATTGATCAGACCTTGGAGTGAAAGGCTTGAGTGAATTGATCAGACATTGCAGTGAAAGGTTTGAGTGGATTGATCAGACCTTGGAGTGAAAGGTTTGATTGGATTGATCAGACCTTGGAGTGAAAGATTTGAGTGAATTGATCAGACCTTGCAGTGAAAGGTTTGAGTGGATTGATTAGACCTTGGTTAAAGAATTGAGTGGATCAGAACTTATTCAATGATTTCAAGATTTGGTTGACCAGAATTTAACCAAAGATTTATGCAAACATTGATCAGAACTTAGTTAAACATTTGAGACGATTGATCACTACTTACTTACACACTCAAATAAATTTACAAAAGCTTGCAATTAATCAGAAAAGCAATAGTAAATCAGTAAAGTAAATTACTGACAACTTGCACTTACAATTAATCAAAGATTCAAGTACATAATAAAAACTTGATCTGAGAGTCTAACAAACTAATCGAAGCTTAATCTCTCAAATCAACTGACCAAAATTAAGTTCAAATAACAATTCAAACACTCAATTAATTTCCTCAAAGCACAATATTCAGACTGCTCGATTGAAAATAAGCTGTGTTTCATCGAATAAACAGATTTTATCGTTCAGATGAAGAGTTAGATGTGATGTAAGTGCGTATTATTAAAGTTTGAGGATGCTTTTCGACACAATGGGATCTCACGGTCTTGATCATCGCCAAGTTCTGAAGCTTCAGGGCTCGATGTTGAATCATCGAAACGTATATAAAATTTTAGAGAACTTCAGGAAAGAATTTTGTACCAGGAATCGGGGAGAATACTGAAATGTCGTCATGGATCAAATTTCAGAGTTTGAATGAAAAGTGGGAGAATTAGGATGGTAAATTCAAAGTGTTAGCACATTAGTAAATATAGCGAATGAAGTAATAGTCATTTTAACTGAGAACTACTGGTGTATATAGTTTTTAATTATATAAGGATATTGAGGGAAGGTAAACAAAGCACTTTGATGATATCAAATGAACAAGAAATGTATGTTCATTTTTTTTTCAGTACTTGAAGAAGTATGTTCTTATAAATTATTTTCACTCAATAATTTGACTTCACCAAATAATTTGAAGTATTATGTTAATTCATACACATAATGTATTTTGATATACACTTAATGTATCTCGAACAATTTTGCTTTCTCATATGTATCATGCAGTACATACATTTTTCTCTTGTTTTCACATATGTTGCAAGTGTGTGAACTTCTATATAATTTTTTTTTATTTTATGAGCTTCAAACTCAACCAAATAAATTTTTCGTAAAATTTCCATCACTAAAACTTCCATCACTCTCAATCAAATAAATTGTTAGAACACATTCGCAACAAAGAAAAATAATTTCTCACCAAAGTCTCCCGACGAGGATGTCTCAAGTTCGACAAACTGGGCGCCGACGGTCTTTGACTCCACCATTCCTCGCCCCTGAAGGTCGCATAAGGACTCGGACCCTATAAAACGCGAATAAAAGCATTTTCAAACTCGCGTCGTTCCCATTCAGCTGCAGGCCGAACACCAATAAATATTCGCTTTAAATTTAACCTGTGATCGAGGTTCTTCACCCACATCGAACGCGCCAGTCCTCCTCCTTTGTCGTATATTTTCGTTCGTGTATTCTGGACAGTAAGACTCCTCTGTACCGCGGATGAACGTCTCTTCGGTTCGTTCCATGGATGGTGCGGACGGTGATGGGGCACCGTTACTACTTGCCGTCGCACCCATGTTACGCTTATTCTACTTGTTCCGCCTATTTCGTCTTTTTTTTAATACTTGGCCTGTCAGGAAGAACAAGCAATGTGGCAAACTTGAGAACATGGTTGAAGACTTTAAAAAATGTTGTTATGTATGAAGGCTTTTACTAACAGACTGTAGGGCGAGTCAGTAAGAACTAACCTATGAGTTAACTTGTTTCATGTACTTTGTGTAATTTGTATCAAACACTTACTGCAATAAAGATTTTAAGAAAATGATATAATGTATTGTTTGTACATCAAGGTTTTTTTTATATTGTTTTTAATAATGTTTTTTATGTTTGTTTTTAATAATCAATGTATTAGATGAATTAGCAAAACCTAACCTACAAAATAGTTTGTCATGTGCACTTAGTGTGATTGATTTGTTTTTAAATCATTTTAGATACTTGAAAATGTAATAAAGATTTTAAGTAAATGATATAATATATTGTTAGTACATCAAGGTTTTTAATAATCAATGTTCTGGATGAATTAGCAAAACCTAACCTACAAAATAATTTGTCATGTGTGCTTTGTGTGATTGATTTGTTTTTAAATCATTTCAGACACTTGAAAATGTAATAAAGATTTTAAGTAAATGATATAATATATTGTTTGTACGTCAAGGTTTTTAATAATCAATGTATTGAATGAATTAGCGAGACCTAACCTACAAAATAATTTGTCATGTGTGCTTTGTGTGATTGATTTGTTTTTAAATCGTTTTAAATACTTGGAAATATAATAAAGATCTTAAATAAATGATACAATACATTGTTAGTATACCAGAGTTCTTAATAATTAATATACAGGGTGGCTCAGTAAAAACCACCCTCTGAAATAACTCATCATTAAACATTTTATGTAATTGACTCTCTTTTACAATTCACATCAAACGTTTCTAACTACAATAAAGCTTTCAAACAATTGAAACAATATATTCTGAATATCAAAGTTAATCAATATACAGAGCAACTCAATAGAAATTACCATCTAAAATAACTTGTGACCCATTGACTGCGTCAAAGGGGTTCTAAATAAAATGTGGCATGTATAACATTCTAAAGGATTCATATATTTATACAATTTATAAATAAGCTTGATACAAATGTTAGGACAGTATCAAATTGCGTCGTTACTGCAAGTTGTATCAATAGCGCCTTGTTCTACTTGAATGGACAATTCCTTTGGGAAATTTCAGGAAACACTCACCCCATAACACGGGGACCATAAGACTGTAAAAACTGCATGCAATTCATACGGAAAGTTTATGAACAGAATTTTTAATCGCGAATATGCAAATTTTTCTTAGTCACTGTTTAACCTACAAATTTTATTTAACCCTCAAATTCTGTTAAATTTACAAATTCTATTTAACCTACAAATTCTATTAAATTTACAAATTCTATTTATTAAATTTACAAATTCTATTTGACCTACAAATTCTATTAAATTTACAAATTCTGTTTATTAAATTTACAAATTCTATTAAATTTATAAATTCTATTTAGCCCTCAAATTCTGTTAAATTTACAAATTCTATTTGACCTACAAATTCTATCAAATTTATAAATTCTATTAAATTTACAAATTCTATTTATTAAATTTACAAATTCTATTTGACCTGCAAATTCTATTAAATTTACAAATTCTATTTATTAAATTTACAAATTCTATTTAACTCTCAAATTCTATTAAATTTACAAATTCAATTTAACCCTCCAATTCTATTAAATTTGCAAATTCTATTAAATTAAAAAATTCTATTTATTCAATTTAAATTACTTGTAGTTACTCTATAAAATATTTTCTATTCCCCAGAAAATTGTTCAATCTCTCCACCATTCAGAAACAGTTAACCTTCCAAAGAGAAGCAATACACAATTAAGTTATACTTATTTAAAATTTATTTGCTCCTCACATTTACTCGAGGAGTAATTCCATCACGTCCCCCTAACTCAATTTCACAAGTACCTTGTTCCTAGAAATGGCAGAGAACTTCAAAATAGAGCGAACGCTAAGGTAAACGAATCTATATCGATATCTGCGATGTACAAAGAAGCAATCAACTTCGTAGCTAGAGAGTTGGCACAGAGAAAAAAGTCGGGCCAGGTCAGTTCGTATTTTTAGAAGACAGATCAATCTCGATCCTTCACCGTAAAATGGGCATTGACGTCCATCAGTGGATAAAAAAAAGAATTAATATTCTATGGCGGAAGAAAAAGAACATTGATTCAATCTTCAAAGTTAGGTTATTCATTGAACTTTCGAAAAATAGAATATCAAAATGTCGGACAATCTTTTCATTGTTCTTGTGTTTAATTCTTTTGATAATTGGAGATTTTTTTCTTTTATTTTTGAAAAAGATCAGAGGTGTAACTTTTACGAGAGGGAATGTTCGAAGAAGCTTTATGGCTCGCGTGCTACCGCGTCTCTGCTCGCAACGCCAGCTTTGTAAATATGCTTAAATATAACTCGATCTACGATCGAAAACGGACGCGTATTTCCGAGCGAACGAAGGAAAACAAAGAACCAGCTATATAATTTTTATTTCATGCGAAATAAAACGATTTCCTAAATGTAAGAGTAATAAGCAACCTGTGACGTTGTTTTCTTATCGAAGGAACAATAAATAGAGATTTTCTTATCTTTGTATTTCCACGTTTGCGAACTTTCCGATTTAGAAATTCATGGGTTCTCAAATTTTTCGATTTTCAAATTTAAGGATTTTTAAGTTTTCAAATTTTGAAATTTATGGGTTCTCAAATTTTCAAGTTTTGGGTTTATGGATTTCTCGATCCATAGAGATTTCTCGATTATTGGGATTTAGGAATTTTTATATTTTCAGGGTTTCAAATTATCACGTTCTCAAGTTTGCAAATTTTAGTATGTTCCATCTTGCAAATTCTTGTGTGTTCAAGTTTTCAAACTCACAGATTTTCATATTATCAAAGTCTCAAATTTACTAATTTACAGATTTGGTAATTTACACTTTCTCAAATTTTCAGATTTAGTAATTTACATTTTCTCAAATTTTCAGATATAGAAATTTGCACTCCCTCAAATTTTCAGACGTAGAAATTTGCACTCCCTCAAATTTTCAGACGTAGAAATTAACACTCTCTAGTTCCCAGATTTAGAAATTTTCGCAGTTGCAAGTTCCCACACTCCACAACTTCCAAATCTATAAATTTTCTGACTTAGAAATTTTCAAACTTGTAAGTTTTCCAATTTACAGACTTCCAAATTTATAAATCATCGTGTTTACATTTTATGTGTCCCAAAACTGAAAGAAGTGGTGAAATGTCTTCCGTTGCTCCTCCACCTCCCCATATTCAACCCCCTGTGCCCACACTTGTTTTTGACCAAACAACCTACGTTTCACATCACACGCGTCATCAATGGTTCACAATATTTATTGAAGACTCAAGTTTAACTATAAAATTTGTTGCTGAAGTTAAAAATTTAGTGACAGAAGAAGTAAATGTGATATAAGTATATTTAAAGTATAATTTAGTTTAGGTAGTAATGGGTATAATTTAATTGGTAGTGATGGGTATAACCTAGTTGGTAGTGATGGGTATAACTTAGTTTCCTAATCTGTTTCTGTGTTTGCTGAACTAGTCCTAGTTTCAGATAAATATTAAATATGAATTAATATTATATTCATTGACAAAAGCAAGTAATTTGAAATACTTCTTAAACAAATACTGAAACAAAAATAAGATGCAACACTGAAGACCTCAGTGAACAATGTTACTTATTGAATCCTTTACTCAGTCGATCTATCTCTAATAAAATAATTTATAACGTCCACTAAAATCCATTAAATGTCACCCTGTATATTTAAGTAACAGCCTAACTAAATTTTTATGGACTACTTCCACACAAAGTACTTTAAATCAAAATTACAATCCATACAAGAGTACATTGAAATAAAACTTTTCTCATAAGAAAATAAAATCTGTAAAAATTGTTGCCATCACCTGTTGCATTAATAACTTTTATATATAAAAGTTCAAAAGAATTTAACTCGAATAAAAATGAAGTGAATCTGAACTTCCCAAGTAAACCCAACTCTCTTAAGCAGAATTGTACAAAGAGACAATAGAAACAACAAAGGCAATAGAAGAGTTATATAAAAACTATAAATAAGTAATTAGACTTTGTAGAAAATAGAGGAGCATAAAATGGTGGCAGTTTACTGCGGTTCGTGTAATCGAGAGATTGTACAACATCCATCGAGCATGCGAAACAAACGCGAGCACGAGTCAGTCCGTTGCCATAAATACATCATAAATAGGTGTACCAAGGAGTGCAGCACGGGTTCCAAATTTAGATCCACGAGAGAACTAAGCAGGCACGTCGAGAGTATCGAATCCACCGATTTTTCGTAGCACGTGTCGTGAATCGCGTAATCACCACGTCACGAGGAAGAATTGCGCGAGGAACAACGGAAATTGCGAAACAGTCAGAAGAACGGTTTCGATCGAAACGAAATCGAAGTTCGTGACGGAAAATCGATTCGAGTCAAAGAAGAAAGACTCACCGGTGGTCATCCGAGTTGTCGATAGTTGTTCGATTTCCTTAGGGTCAACGACGACACTTGACTACCGTCGCTGCTTGCGAACTAGCGACTCACTTCTCTAAAAATACCATTTCGAAAGACCGCGTGCGCAAAGACGCCTTTGGATCTGGCGCATGCGCGATCCACACTTCCGTGTGGCTGTGATCTAGGAAGTCGATAACTCTTTGATAAACTTCCTGAATTGCATCGATCAGCTGGGGGTTTGTTGCTGTGGATGCATGGATGTCTGACATCCGCCATTTTGGAAGAAAAATGCTTTCTTTGTGTTTTTTTGTTTTGAGGGGATAATCCTATGAAATCATGGAGCTTGTGAAGTTACTTAGAGGTTTTGATAGTTGTATTCAAGAATTGTTTTAATAATTGTGATTTTATTTGAAGATTTTGAGGCAAAACTCAGAGGTGCTTTTTTCATAGTAGACTTTTAAGGAAGATTTTCAAAGAAGATTTTTAAAAAAGACTTTCAAAGAAGACTTTTAAACAAGACTTTCAAACAAGACTTTCAAAGTAGACTTTCAAGGAAGACTTTCAAAGTAGACTTTCAAAGTAGACTTTCAAAGAAGACTTTTGAAGAAGACTTTCAAACAAGACTTTCAAAGTAGATTTTTAAAAAAGACTTTCAAAGAAGACTTTTAAACAAGACTTTTAAAGAAGACTTTCAAACAAGACTTTTAAAGAAGACTTTCAAACAAGACTTTCAAAGTAGATTTTTAAAAAAGATTTTCAAAGAAGACTTTTAAACAAGACTTTCAAAGAAGAATTTCAAACAAGACTTTCAAACAAGACTTTCAAAGTAGATTTTCAAAGAAGACTTTCAAACAAGACTTTCAAAGTAAACTTCCAAAGTAGACTTCCAAAGTAGTCTTTCAAAGAAGACTTTCAAAGAAGACTTTCAAACAAGACTTTCAAAGAAAACTTTCAAACAAGACTTTCAAACAAGACTTTCAAACAAGACTTTCAAAGAAAACTTTCAAAGTAGATTTTCAAAGAAGGCTTTCAAAGTAGACTTCCAAAGTAGACTCAAGGAAGACTTCCAAGAAGAAATATTATTAGAGAAATATTATTTATACTGTGAAATTTAGGGGAGGATAAAACCTTCCCCTTCAGAGTTTCTATAAACAAAAATTGCATTAAGTCATAAGTTAAAGTGATCAATTTTTATTTATTTTTAAATCTATTAGTGATATTAAAAAATTATTAATGACGAAATAAATGTACTATTATTACCTAATATTGAATGAAATATACAATTATTCTTTATTATAAATTTAAGTAATGTGGAGTAAAATTACACTCATGAACTTTGAGGGTTAAAAATTAAATTTGAACTGTGAACTTAATGTTTATCTTATACTATATTGCATATTTTACACTAAATAAATAATATATACTTTAGAAAACGTTAATGGGAGGAACTCACCCCTTAAGACTTCATTTTATCATCAAACCAAATGAACATTATAAATTAATATTCACTCCAGTAACTTCTTCTCCATTTCAAAACCCATAAAAATAAAAAGCAGTAATAAACAATAAATAATAAAAATACTAAAATATACCAGAAGCTATAAAAATTTACAATAACAACAAACAGTCCATAATTTCAGAAATAAAAATCAGATCCAAAAATTGAAATTTACAAAACTTGTAACATAAAGCTATCAAAAGTAATTTACAATAACAACAGTCCATGATTTCAAAAATAAAAATCTGATCCAAAAATTGAAATTTACAAACCTCGTAACATAAAGCCATCAAAAGTAATTTACAATAACAACAAACAGTCCATGATTTCAGAAATAAAAATCAGATCCAAAAATTGAAATTTACAAAACTTGTAACATAAAGCCATCAAAAGTAATTTACAATAACAACAAACAGTCCATAATTTCAGAAATAAAAATCAGATCCAAAAATTGAAATTTACAAAACTTGTAACATAAAGCTATGAAAAGTAAGCCTAAAAAACTGAAGAATGAAATATGAATTATAAATATATGGTTCAGAGCCCCGACATTGATGAATCGTGTCACTATCGTGACTGATGCGAGCATTGTACAGCGAACTTTCTGGCGTCGTAAATTCATAAATTCGAAGACACCGTGGAAAAAGAGACGCAGCTACGAAAATACGTGCAACCCAACAATAACGCCGCTTCTGTTCTATATTTAGTCCGTTTTTCGAATGGTTCGACGGGGCGATGCACATGCTCGCGGGCAGAACTTCCTGTACGACGTTTTCCACCCTGTCACTGTGACCTCGTACAACTCTTTCCGAAATAAACAATTCGACAGTGAGCAAACAACTGAGACTTAAGTTGCAAACTGAGAGTTTGTACTATAGTTTTAGCAAAGTACCGTTTATGTAAGCGCTAATGTCCGACTCCATTTTGTTATCTGCAGTTCCATGTCCTTATCGCTCATTTGCATTCTGGTTAAAAATAATTTATGGAACATTGTCGTAGATAGGATTTCTAACTATAATGTACATGTCACTTTATAATGTACTTGTAATTTTATCAAAAATATTAAGTCTACAATTCTTAGGTAGTTTTCAATTTTTAACCTTGTTGTTTTGAGGTTAGGAAAACGATTGCTTCTAACTTTATCAAAAATAAATCTACAATTTTTGTTTAGTTTTCAATTTTTATTAAGCTTGCTGTTTTGAGGTTAGGAAAACGATTGAACTTTTTCACGTAATTTTATTTGAAATCGACCACAGTTAAAAATAGTATTATTGGTACATGAAAATGTGGATCCGCGATTTTGCGATTAAAAATCGCTGTTCTGCTGAACCGTGTTTATTAACGTTTCGATATCGCACAGAAAGGATCGTAATGGATACAACGCATTTAGCACGAACAGAAATAACGTAGAAGCGGATATTGAACGCAGAATATTCAACATTTTATTATTTACAGCTCGTGTTTTTGATGACGACAGTCGGATTTTTCTATCAGACTGCAGCGAACTTGAATCCATTTAATTTACGACTGTATCTGTAAACATATACGGAATAAATGAAATATGGTATCCATTAAGGTAATTGTGATTGAAAATTCAAGTGTTAGTCCCCTGATTGAATATGATGTGAAAATATGATCTAAAAATATATTACAATACTGAATTCTTTTAAATAAAATTGGAAGACTGTGCCAATTTTTTTCGTGTATCGTATTTATTATTTAGTGACTCAGAGCGTGATGCAAATTTTCCTAGAATTTACGGATGATTTGCATCAAATTTTTGCGATAATGTAAAATAAAAATAGAAGCTGAAATGTGGATCACTTCAAATATTTTGTAGTTTAAAATGTTTACGAAAATAATTATTAGTATTGTGAATAATATTTGTTTGCAATATTACCTTACATACAGAGATCTATCTAAGTTCACTTTATAATGGACAATTTAGCGTTGCAACATTTTATTAAAACAGACGAGGTTTGAGGCGTCTCCTGATTCTTGCTGTCCATACTTTTTGGAGTATCTGACTCAATATGGATACCTTGAGCCTTCAAACAATTTTTCAAACTCCTCTCGACGTTATCGATCATCTGATGCATCCTATTGGACATTTTCAAGTAGCATTCGCCTTCGAGCACCCATTCTACGAGAGACAAACATCAAATCTACCCCTACAACACTCACATTAGTCAAACTTACCCTGTAAATTATTCTCTGCAGATATCTGATTACTATTAATTTCTTTGGAATCAACATTGTCTTCTGTTTCGTTTAATTTTTGAACACAGTTCTCTTCGATTTTATAATCAACTTTGTCTCCTTGCCCATTTATTGTATTTGTCTCCTCTTTGGTTCTACATCTACATTTATTAAAAATCGTTTTACAAATTATTATCAACTTGTTCATTCGGTTTATAAGTTATAAATTATTGTCAAGTTGTTTATTCGGTTTAGAAATTATAAATTATTGTCAACTTGTTCATTCACTTTACAAATTATAAATTATTGTCAACTTATTAATTCACTTTACAAATTATAAATTATTGTCAACTTATTAATTCACTATACAAATTATAAATTATTATCAACTTATTAATTCACTATACAAATTGTAAATCATTATCAACTTGTTCATTCACTTTACAAATTATAAATTATTATCAACTTGTTCATTCATTATACAAATTATAAATTATTATCAACTTGTTCATTCATTATACAAATCATAAATTATTATCAACTTGTTAATTCACTATACAAATTATAAATTATTATCAACTTATTCATTCATTATACAAATTATAAATTATTATCAACTTGTTCATTCACTATACAAATTATAAATTATTATCAACTTATTCATTCATTATACAAATCATAAATTATTATCAACTTGTTAATTCACTTTAAAAATTATAAATTATCATCAACTTATTCATTCATTATACAAATTATAATGTAAACACATTTACCTTTGATTATCAGAATCCTCAACTTTTGGAACAGTCATTTCCTTGACGAATTCTCCCATAACCGAATTAACTTCAGAATTGTCAACAGTCATTGTAGCTTCGTCTTTTATAAATAACTCCCTCATAAGTTCTGGATTATGAATTACTTTGACGAAATCGTCAGATAAATTCTGTTCAAGGAATTTAATAATACACACTGTACAATACACTCAATATTTAAATTAAATTCGTTGTCGTTAGAAAGATAGAATTTTACTGGTTGCTGAAGAATCTCCTGAGTTTTGTTTGTCTCCGTGATTTCTTCATCGTTGTAGGTCTGGTACTCGGAGGATCGATTGAACATCGAGACCTCTGGAATTGGAACAGACTTGTCGCCTTGCTGGTCGCGTATCGAAGATAATTCTTTCGACTTCACTTTTTGTATTGTGATCTAAATCAGTAATGAACGAGCGACCGAATTAGCTGCAATTCGTTGCAACCGTTCGATATCTGCAATCTGTTTCTATTTTCTGTTTTCATTGAAACTATTATTGCTGGGGGTATTATTACTTCTGTTAGTGAAACTGTTATTGAACGTATTAAAAGTATTGTTATTGAACATGTTATTAATGAATGAAAAAATACATTACTTAAAGTATTGTTATTATTCAAGTACTAGTAAATTATTATTGAAAATGTTATTATTGAAACAAGTACCAAAAGTGTTATTGTTGAAACAAGTAGCAAAAGTGTTATTATTGAAACAAGTACCAAAAGTGTTATTATTGAAACAAGTATAAAAGTAATTATTGGTGAAACTGTTAGCAAAAATATCATTACTGAATATATTAATTAAAGCATTATCCTTACTCAAGTATTACTAAATTATTATTGAAAATATTTTTATTGAAACAAGTATGAAAATAATTATAGATGAAACTATTACCAAAAATATCATTACTGAATACATTAATTAAAGCATTATCCTTACTCAAGTATTACTAAATTATTATTGAAAATATTATTATTAAAACTAACACCAAAAGTGTTATTGTTGAATCTATTACCAAAAGTATCATTACTGAATACTTAAATTACTGAATTATTTAAAGCATTATCATTACTCAAGTATGACTAAATTATTATTAAAAGCATTATTATTAAAACTTGTACCAAAAGTATTATTGTTGAAACTATTACTAAAAGCATTACTGAAACTATTACTAAAATTATATTTATGTAACTAACTATATTTAACTATAACAATATTTAGCAATTAAATTTTATAAATAAAGACTGATGTATTGAAATGGTTTGTACCTCCCTTTTCATGGTATCTCTGACTTTCACCATATCCACAGCATTCAAACGCCGGAACATTTCATCGACGAAAGACTCATAAATATGCAGCTTTTTCGACAGCGTCATCCGCGCCATTTTCTCGTTCTTTAGGGCCGCTTCCGTCAAACCCAAATCACGTTCCAACCGTCCCACTCGCGCCATCAATTGTTCATTAAGCAACGTTAAAAACTGTGCCTAATGTCATTGAAAATCTTTTATAACTTTCGTTTCAAAACTTTGGAAGTGAAACTAACGTTAATTGAGAAATTTAGAATCTGTGAAATTTGTGAAATTTGTGAAACTTTTATTTGTAAATTTTTAGGTTATTAGACTGGAGAAGTGGGAAAACAGAAAAGTAGAAGAATGAGAATTCGTATGAATTATAAAATATATATTCGAATGAGAATTATAAAATTAGGAAAGTATGGAATTAGAAAAGTAAGATATCTGGGGTTATAGAAACTTAAAAATGTGATAATTTGGGGATAAGAAAATTTAATAATTTTGAGAATTCTCTAATTCAGAAGTTGGAAAAATAAAATTCGAAAAAAATAGAAACCGAAGTTTTGAAAAATTGAAAATGTAGAAAACCATTCTACAAAGTTTGAAAACTCAACAATTTAGAAAATTGAAAATTAAAAAATTTTAAAAAGCATAAAATGTTCAAATCTTCCAACCTTTCACTACTCCCTTCTTACATCACCAACTACATATTTATCTCCATAAATTCACCAGCAATTAATCCCAATATTCCATAAAATCCAAACCCACCCCTCCATAACCATAACACCACACCAATTATACACCCTAACCTCCAAATCCTCAAACTCAAAGTTTTACCAACTCGAAAATCGAATACTTCAAGACATTAATGGAAGTTTAACCTTGTTTGCCGTGTACGATGAATCAAATTTCGAAGCGTGGCAAACTCGACACGGTCTTCGTCGCTGATCCGAGTACCCGCACGTCGTGCGATGCGCTTCGAGGATGCTGTCGATCGATTTGCTCTTCGTTATTTTTTCGATATCGATCGGTCTGGGCGACAGGATCGACGGAAAATGACCGTCGTTAACGATCTGTAGGATTACATTTGATTGTTAGCGTTCGATAGGGTGCGTCCGTTTTACAGGAACGAACGGAAATTGCGAATTCGCTGTTACGAGACTTACTTCTGGCGTGTCGGGTTTTCGATCGAGGGAACGAAGGGGAGGTGACAGGACGAACCGGAAATAGGAACTGGTCCCCAGGATTTTTATTTCTTTGCTCACGTAGACGAATTGGTAATCGATGTTCGACGACGCCTGCAACGTTTTTTAACATTAGTGAAATCAATCTCATAATCTACTTAGATTTCACTTGACAATAATTAATCATTTTTTGAGATTTTGCTGATTAATTTAATTGGTAATTTTATTGTTAACTTGCTAAATGGTATTTGTTAAAACCGGACAAAATTAATTAATAGTGGAAATAAATCACAGTTGTGTTTGATGAACTTTTGTGGCTTAGATCTTGGAAAATTAATTGTATACATTTTAAGTTAGTTAAGAGTGATTTTTATTTTATGAGTATGTAAATGACTGTATTAATATTTTATAAAAATTGTCAACTTGCTAAGAGATACTGTCAATATCTGACAAATTGAATTAATAGTAGAAATAAATCACAGTTGACTTTGATCATTTTTTGCGGCTTAGATCTTGGAAAATTAATTGTATACATTTTAAGTTACCTAAGAGTGATTTTTATTTTATAAGTATGTAAATGACTGTATTAATATTTTATAAAAATTGTCAACTTGCTAAGAGGTACTGTTAAAATCTGACAAATCGAATTAATAGAAATAAATCACAGTTGATTTTGATGATTTTTTGTGACTTATATCTTGTCTAAAATTAATAGTATACATTTTGAGATCCTTAAGAGTGGTGTCTTTCACGTTATGATAGATGTCCATATTAATAATTTATAAAAATTGTCCACCACATATGCACATTTTCCTAAGTCATAATTTCAACCAATGTAAATAATGAATTTTTAAATTTGCAGACCTCTCGATGAAAAGTGTGCAGGAACATAACGCTACGATTGTGTGATAATAAGTCTCTAGGTGCAATAACGACGTATTCGAAAGCGAGGTACTGTTGAAGATTGGTCCATCCTCGTGGGAAAATTCCGATCCAATCGCGTGTCGAGGTACGTACCTGCAAAGATTGTAAATAAGACTGTAATAAAAGAATTCAAGCTATCAGTCTACAAAAAATACGAACTTTATCTTGTAACTTATAATCTACCACTATATTTTCATCGACGCTGTATTTCGTTTTCAGTTTTTCAAATTGAACTTCATTGGTGTACTGACAATGAAATGTGCCACGTGCACAGCAATACATTTTTATAAACGTTTGTGGCTGAAAAATAAGGCTAAACGCTGATCAATGTGAAGGTAGCAGTTTTTATTATTTTATTTGAGCAATTTTGTTATCGAGTTGTGGAAGTGACAAACGAACGATGAATATTTGAAAAAATTGCTGTAACATTGAAATCGCATTTATGATAAAATTTTTAAATCGTCGCAATTTTAAAATGAGTAAGGTCCTTCGTAATTATTTGTATTCGCATCAATTGCAAAGTACGAAGCAGCAGCTGCCATCTAGCAGCGAAGTGTGGATAATCACGAACGTCCAAATGCATTGCAAGAAATAAAGTAGTGTGGATAAATTATTCTGCAGATACACATATTTTTACACCATGTTTTATTCAATCATTTTTTTACATCAAAAATTTATTCATTCCAGAAAACAATTGACATCATCGAGTATGTCGTGACCTTCATACAAATGACCTGTAAAGTAAAATTAACCCGCACAAAATTGTATATTTTTCTACTCTTCTTCGTTTCTGTCACAATACAATAAGGTTTCATTAACAATCAATGTTCCGCAATTGTAGCAGATGGAAGAACGATGTTCCGCGGATAAGATAACGAAAACTGTTATCGCGATACTCGTTAAATACACTTGGCTTCAATGTAGACTTCCTTTAATTACGGATAAGAAGAGAGCTAGTTTATTTGTTTTTATTTCGGAACTGCTTAATGTATGTACATTTTACTGCGTGTGAAGATTGGAAAATAATAATAGTAATCCTTGAAACTTTCGACATAATTACTGCGGTAATTATATAAGTATTAGCATTATCTGGAAACACTTAGGGTCGTTTATATAACTATTAAAAGGTTGTTAATATATACTCATTATTTCGATTTAATTTTAGAATTTATATCTCGAGTAACATGTACATTACATATGCACAATGTACAAGATAATCATAAAAAACAGAAATGAGTTTGGGGTCCTCTTTTAGAATTTCATATTTTACATATGTAGTATTAGAATGAAAGTACTAAAAGTTCTAATTCTCCTATTAAAGATACAATTCCTAGAATTACAGTAATCGTATTGCAATGAATTTTATTTCAATAAAGAAGAAATAATGAATTTGTGTCATAACAATACTATGGCGACAACCGTGCGAACATCAGCGGGTGAAAGAGTAGAGGTTCGAAAGTTGCCGCCACGGATTCTCTTAGTGCGCACGCGCAGGAAGCATCGCACCGCGTTCCTATTGGTCGACGCGCGAGTCGACCGCTGGAGCGAACGCGCGCTCAAGTGCCGTACTGATCGCCTCGATGACAAGGCCGTCAGTTACTGTTCGTGCACGAATGCGACCAAATACCCGGGTATCTTGGCGGGTTTTCGCTCGGAGCTGCGCTCACGAGACCAGCTCGGGAACGAGAAAACGGAGGTGACGTTTCTGCCAGGAGAAGGAAACAGTGAACGTTCGATATCGAGAGCAACGTCCGACAAGGATCAAGCAGGAAGGACTAAGCGTACGTGACACTAGACAAGTGGAAACCTGTCGAACACCTGGGGCTGCACTTTAGTCCACCTTTGGCCGCGCACATAGGCAGACGATTGTCAGGTTAGTGATAGCCGTAAACGATGCGTCGGCGCGACTAAGCACGCGGTTTCTCCGTCTCGCTTTCTCCCGTATCCTCGTCACGTTCACGGAAATTCTGTCAGACTTTTTATCGAATAACCCTCGATTTCTCGTTACTCGCTGTCGCGTAAACTCGAGCGAAAAGCTCATCGTTCGAACGTGACACTTACGGTGCCGAATATTTGACAGTAGACTGACAGAAATTCGATTGTACGAGGTGGACTGTTCGGGACGTGGATCGTTATCGATGCTGCCCTTGTTTATCTCTGTCTCGTTTTCGTTTGAATCGCGGGTCGAACAGTGGGTACCATGTTGGCGTTAAAATATTCATCGAATTTGGTGTTCGATAACGGCAAGGCCCGTTTTTATCGATTGATTTCGCGACCAATCGGACGTGCGTCTTCTGCTATCAGTTATAAGCAAGGATCGACGTCTTTAGACGTGTCCATCGACTTTGCAAGCGAACGTAGCGGAAGACCCTCGTCGCGACCTTGATCGGGGAGCTGGTATAGCGGTATACTCGAGCCGCGCGCGTCGATAATTCCTGTCGTGCATTCTCCGTCTCGTATTCGTCGTCTTCGCGCCAATCCGCTTGTTCCCGTCTCAGCTGTGCATCGGTGCCTGTTTACAACGTGCTTCTTCGAACCCGATTATCGTAGGGTTGCAAATGTACGAATAAATATATTCTTTACGAACCTCTTTACTTCGCTTGATCCTTCGGAGAGAACGTTCAACTTCTTTCATTGAACTCAATATCATGCACATGTATTTAGATAAATGTTACGTATCTCATTAGTACTATTACTGTCCCGTAATTCCACTTTGCTAACTGTGCTATTATTCCACTGTGTCATTATACTTTTATGCTCCTATCTACCTTACTATTTTTAGTGAACTTAAACATTGACTCATAGCCTGATTACAGCTCGTTCGGGTTTCTCGAACTCTCAAATCCTAAAATACCTAGATTCACCCCTCATTACAATTATATTTAAATTATCAATCTAACCGTTTAATGTCAACTATAAAAATGGCAAATCCCTTCTTGACAAATCAAAAGATTAAACTCGCTAGCAAAACGGTCGTCGAGTGTTTATCAGTTTGACACCGGTTCAGGATAAACCGAAGATACGTTGAAAATATTTACGTATCCTTCTACAGTGTTCGTCCAAGTGAAAGGTGTATTGTTAACGAGAGATTCGAATCGTTCCACGATTGTGCAAAAGATTGGATATATAAGGTTAACCTTACTTACAAGTAAGCACTAGTTATCTTATAGAGCAGCGATCAAACAATAAGCTGAATAATGTTATTCACGGGCAACTGAATAACTTGCAAAGTTCTGTTTCGTTTCATTTGAAAAGTTCGACGTACCTAGTACACCCTGTATCAGGGTTTTCATTTGGTCTTATAATAGAGCCTGGTAAAGAGCATAGTTGCCATTGTACGAGTTCAACAAAGGGAACGTTGCAATCGTAATGGACCGTGATGTCCGTGAAGCTCTTAGAAAACGTGTAATTAATCCAGGCCAGCTATGGCGAACGGGTTGATATAACTTTAAAAGGATCTGATTTTATGATTAACTCTTTACCGAATCAAATCACAGTGATCTGTATACATTCAACTCTCAACGTTCTAATTTATGTAATGGAACGCATTTATACAATTTTTTGTCTTTGTTTCATTTTTACGTTGTGATGTCATTTTTTTAATGAGGAAACTTTGTACGGTACTTAGTGCAGTCTCTTGTTATATTGCCATAAGAAAAATTGTAGAAACAGTTTGTAGGGTTGACAATGTATTGCATCTTCATGTATTGTAATAGTGAAAAAGTGTTAATAGAGTGTATGAAAATTTGTGTGATAGAGTGAAGCGGCGATATAACGAGGGTCCAGTATAATTTAAATTATGTGACTTACGTGTGATACGACAGTGTGCTGCACCGCTAATATAGGTAAAATTGCATGTAAAGGAAAATTCGCTGAATCGGCGATATAACGAGAGTCTGCTATAATTTGAAGTAGGCGGTAAATTTAGTAAATTTCTGACATACAATAATCAGAGAGAGTCATCGACCACAAGTGAGACTCCATGTATTGAAAATTCGAACATTTCATTACCGTGACAGTCCACGGATTGAGAGTTCGAACAATTGGCAATATAACGAGAGTCTACTATAATTTAAAGTATGCGATCTTCATAGACTTCCTCGTATTTTGATTAAAAAAGAGTGCTATTTAAAATACTTTGTACTCCGTGTAACAATTAATACCGGCAATATAATGAGAGTTTACATCGTGTTTAAATAATTAATCCCTAAAGGAACTGTAGTTGTAACATTGTAAAATTTGAATTTAATCCAAGTCAAAGGGGATAACCGCATAATTTTGCCATCGGGGTTGCGCATATAAATAACATTAACCACGCCGCTGATGAATTATATCGCGAGCGATGCCGGGTCACAAAACCGTATCAAATGATTTGCCGTTCAATCTTTAATCGCGCCGTTATCTTGCGTTTTATTTATCCTCCGTCCAGTCGGACGACAATCTTTATGCATTATTGCCCAAGCCTCGCAGCTAATGGCACTTGTCACGCGATTTAAAAGCATCGCCAACAACGCCAGTCGACCGAGACGTTTCTTTCGATGCGTATCGATCGAACGGCCATTACGCACTCCATTTTTCATTACTTTTTTCCGTTTCGAACGACCGTGCACGGACTAACGATGACCGACGTTCCAGCGTTTCGTCCGCAACAGAATCCACGACAGTGTGACACACCATGTGCGTCTTCGAAACCATTACGTGTACACAACCTATGACATATGTGTTCTAAAATATTCGATGCTATAAATGACGTACGCTGTATGCCCTATGCTATTTGATACAACCTGTGACGCACCAGTTGTGTCTTAAATAATTGATGCAACCGAAGATACGTCACAAGCGTCTTAACACTTTCGATATAATCAATGATGCATCTTATGTCTGCGACGCCAACTGATATAACAGATGTGACTTCACTGTGTACTCGAGTTAATCAATGATATATTGCATATAAATTAAATTATTAATTCGACGTAACTGGTCACACATCGTACGTGTTGTTTGTTTTAAGTTTAATGTACTCAGTGACACACCATGTGCGTCCTGAAAGATCCAATGTATTCAATGACACACCATATGCGTCCCAAAAGATCCTATGCATCTATTGACACACCATGTGCGTCCTGACAGATTCAATGTATTTAATGACACACCATGTGCGTCTTTAAAAATCCTATATATTCAATGACACACCGTGAGCGTCTTAAAATAACCGATGCATTCAATGACACACCATGTGCGTCCTGAAAGATCCAATGTATTCAATGACACATCTTCTGCGTCCTAAAAAATCCAATGTATTCAATGACACACCATGTGCGTCCTAAAAAAATCCGATATACTCAATGACACACCATGTGCGTCGTAAAAAAATCCGATATATTCAATGACACACCATGTGCGTCCTAAAACATCGGATGCTTCCAATAACACACCATGTGCGTCCTAAAACATCTGATGTATCCAATGACACACCATGTGCGTCCTAAAAAAATCCGATGTATTCAATGACACACCATGTGCGTCCTAAAACATCCGATACATCCAATGACACACCACGTGCGTCTTAAAAGATCCGACACATCCAATGACACACCACGTGCGTCTTATAAAAACATATTTTAATTTAACGTTAATTCGAAAATGTGTATAAGTTTTGTTTTATTCATAATTGATTACACGACAAACATATTAAAATCGAAAGTCATAAGAGGAAGATTGAGAAAGTAGATTGTGAAGTATGATAATGGAATGCAGCTTAGGCAACTCTGAGTCATTGAGTAATTATCCTGTGCAGCGTACGAGAATCGATAGTTTATCTGAAACTGCAAGAAACTCGATAACGTAGCTATCGACTAAACGGTTTCATCTTGAATCAAGAAAATAAATATTTGCAAAACCTTGATAAATGAAAACTTTTACAGGAAACAAAGTTTTCTCGTAGAATCTTCAAGTACGACGTATTATACATTAATTATTTACGGTGTTTTTTTTACAACGAGTGTCGCAGAGTAGAAGTTCTACTCTCAGAATTATTGAACTGTCGATTGCAGAACTTCTGGCATAAATATACATGTGTTTCGTAGAACCGGACCCTAGTACAGGAACTATACCGTAATGTACCACGGGCATATCGCAATCAAAGAGAAAATTTAATCCATCAGAAATTATTGCTTAGATAGTTTGCACGGATTTATAGTACCAAGTTCAACTAACGCGAACTCTCGTAAAATACAATTCTATTTAACGAAGTAACCTCCATTTCTCAGCTCTGTTCGGACAAGATTAATATAAATTCTGTCGAATTATCTTAGAGCTCGCACAAAGTCAACCATCGACTCACGTTCTCGTGCAATTTTAAAATCCATCGAAACGACAGGAATAACCAGATCGTGCTTTTCATCCCCGATTCTCAATTAAAATCGAGAAGACGAAAGTTCGAATTCGGTGTGCAGAATAATTTACATTAACGTCTAAATTCGTCGGACTCGTGATCCCGTTTAATTGAATGCACATCGATCCGTGCCTGTTATGCTCTGATTAGCGCCTACCAATTGACGTTCGAACACACGAGCCTCGAAACGTCGAACCTTCTTCACTTCCTCTCGTGTTACGACATATCAAATGTATTCAACTCTCGATTCATTCGTTCGTTTTATTACAAGACGACCTAAAAGAGTCATTTATATTTCCAATTAAAATTTATTACGTTCGTCACGTCAAACGGAAACAATTTTTAGTTAAATTTGTTTTATTATATTTTTATCGCACATTTATATTCTTCCCACGCGTTATACGGCGGAGTGTACTGGTACGCACAGTATTTTATCGATTCGTATTTACACGCGTTTCCAGCTAGTTGTATATTCAAGT